AAAAATTAAATATTTATAATAATATAAAATTAATTGACAATGTCCAGTAATTGATGAGTAATTCACAAATTTATAATTTGAAATTACTCATCATTAATATATCATTATAAAAATAAAAATTTAACTATTTTATGCCAAAAACACATTTTTAAATAAAACTAAATACAGTGGTGCCTTGACTTACGAGTTTAATTCATTCTGTGATGGAACTTGTAACTTAAATTACTCTTATGTCAAATGAATTTTTCCCACTGAAATGAATTGAAATGCCATTAATCCATTCCAGATCCCCAAAACTCCACAATTTTTTTGTTACATGTTTTTAAATAAGAAAAATTTACTTATAAATAACAAATATTGTATAAAAACACAATAGAATGCACTGCAAGAAACAGGTTTTGCAGATGTTGCAATGTTTGCTACATAGATAAAAAAAGAAAAGATGGGAAATTTGAGAAATGAGAGACTATGGCACCGCACAAAACATGGAAGTGAACTAATGCCTATGTCACTCGATTACGTGTTTTTCTATAAGTTAACCTATTAGACATTGGAAGAATAATGAAAATGACAAAATTACAGCAGTTTTCCATCATCTTTTTCTTAATCTATGGTTTGCTGTGGCATTTTCTGCACTAACTAGTGGTGGGGTATCTAAAGCTGACTCATAACCCAAATTTTAGCTCTCAACTCAAAGCAAAATATCAGCCAAGAGACAGCTTGTATCTTTAAACTTGTAAGATTAAAGATACAAGTTTAATCTTTTCTTAGTTTTTCTTTGGAAGTTTTTCTTTACAAGAAAAACTTGTAAGTTGGGACACTCATAAGTCAAGGTACCAGTGTATATCTGAAATAATATCAGCAGATATTTTTTTCAAAGTGTAAAATACATTTGAACATTAATTATGTTTTTTGTTATAAAAACCAACAGCCTCAAATGAGTATATAGTATGAACCTATAAACACTGTCAGATTCCAAAAAGTAAACTCATTTTACTGCCAAAAAAAAATGGCAAAATAATTTTTGTAACATAATGTCATCTATTGGATAAAATTTACAGTTAACAAGAGTGAATGCTTCTGTAAAAGTTCGTCCGATGGAGAATTATTTTTAATAAAATAAAAGACAAAACTGTCCAAAAAGGATCACCATTTATTACTTGTGTTCCAAGACTTGTGAATGCATGAGAGATGTTAAAATAAAAGTTTCAAGAGCATTTTTCACAATGAACATATGACACACATCACAGCCAAAAATGTGAACACTGCATATGAAAGTATGGAATGCGACAATGACTAAAAAGGGGTTAGACATTCTTAAATACTTTAGTCCAATAAATATCTTTATATCTTAGACCAAATCACAAAATATGATTAAACACTAAAAGCTTCCTGGAGTGTCAACATTTCTGAGTAATAATTTTGGTTTTTTAATACTTCAGATAGACTAGCTTATTGTTTAGTAATTTTTGCATTAATGTAAAAAATGTTAATTATAATTCAAGTTTCTAATACTTTAATCATTTAGGCAAATTAATATCTGAATTTCTCATTCACACATTTCTCTCTGTCTTTTTCTCTTTAATTAAAATTTTGAAATATTTCTGAAATTTAAATTTTTAACATAATGAAAACTCACCATTGAATGACCAAGAAAAATAATTTTTGTGTTAGAATTCCTGTAAAGTTTTCTTATGTAATTAACACATTCCTGCAAGAACACTGAAAATAAATAATTACTATTTTATTAAATAAAAATTACATTTAATTTTTATTTTGACAGTTTATAAATAATTTTAAATCATCAAAGATATTATCATGTCATTTTAGTCAATTGAAATTTGCTTTTCCTTATTTGATTTTATTTTTATTTCTTCAATTAATTGATAAAATAACAAATTCAATTCACTTCATTATATTATACAGTAGACCCCCAATAAAACGGGTTCATATAGTTTGGATTCCTATACGACGGCAAAAAAATTGCAACCATATTAAACAAGCTAAAAGAGACTCTTATAATTTAGTAAAACATCATCGCCGACTCGTGTCACGACAGGATTGGTTGAATCTAGACCAATAGCGGATATTGTACAAACCACTGAGTTTAAACGAGCAGCAGACCTACTAAAAACCATTTATTTAACATCCATAAAAATTATATTTATATTAATGATGTCCCCAAAGTTCAGCAAAGTTTTTGCAGAAAAATAATTTATCAGGAAGCACGCGAGCGCCATTCGATGCACCGCTCCACGATGAAAACAAGCTTAAGCAATGGTGTCGTCGAACGGTGCCCACTTGGTAAGTAATCCTACAATTTTTTGTTTATAGCATATTTTATATAGATTATTCCCCAAAAATTATACATATTTTGGAAATGATGAGTCAAATTAGTCTAAAATCGATTAATTTTATGGAAGAAACCTTTCAAACAGCCGTAGTCCCTAAACTGCAAACGTGCCAAGCTGTGATTGGCTCATGTATTTTAACGACACATAGAAAATGAATTTCATAAAAACCAGAACGTATCTACCATGTTATAAGGGGGTCGACTGTACATACACACAAAATAATGTTTCATCCAAAAAATGAAAATGAAATAAAATAACAAAAGCTAAATAATTAAATGTACAAAAAATGACAAAAAAAATTATTATTATTATTATTTATTATTTTTCAATAAAAAAAAATTTATTTTATTGAATCAAAAATTATTTAAATATGAACAATTTAAATTCACTATATTTTTACACCATAATATACTTTAAATTATCATTATTTCTCTGTAATAATAAATTATTAATGTATATGTTATTCTAAAATGACATTGTATTATACTAAAAGTTTTAAAACTTTGTTGTAAACTGAAGTGAATTATTACAGGCTTTTATAATATGATTTAAGTATTAAGTTGTTTACACTATTTTTATCAACTTATGTTTTATAGTTATTTTCTTCATATTAGATACTTTTAAATGGGAATTAAATTTCTCAAATTGTTTAAAAAATACTTTAGCATACAGGTCATTCCATGTCAGTTCAAGCAGGAATTCATCCTTATGATGCCAGATTTTGACAATTTTTACAGAGTGGGTCTATTTTGCATCTATAATAAGCCTGCCAAAATGTTTTGCAAAAGTTTCATTTTTAAGAATATTATATTACTTTCCAAATTTTGAACTTTCTGAAAAAGCTGTTTACTTGAATGTATGTATCTCAGTAAGTATGAGAATCCAATATATCATCATCAATATTCATACTTATTTGGTAATTGTTGTCAAATCTACTACCTGAGAAAATCTCCACTTACACTTTTGTGACAGTGAAAACGACACATTCCCGTGATCTGCTGACCTCTTAGCCAGGTGATATCATGCTGATATCAAAATTGATGGCTGATGAGTCAGTCATTGTCAATTCCTCAATCAAATCACTTATATTCTAATTTGCGGATACCCTCTGCTCCTTGGGATACATCATTTTTGGATACCTCTTTGCCTGTGGCCATAATATCTATTTGTACACATCTGTTGTCAGAATAAGAACTGTCCTCCAGACCTTTCTTCCTGTCCATTCAACCAGCTCGTATCAGATCAAGATCTCCTACAAGATCCTCTACCCTCAGAACATCATAACCAAGATCTTCTACAAGGTATTTATCCCCACGCGTATCTCATGTAAACTTGCTCTCTCGCAATCTCTCCCTTAAATAGGTCAGTTAATCAGATATTACGATTAGTATCCTGTAACTTTTCTTTTGTGATTATTAAATGGTTATTTAGTTGTTAATTCTCATATCTGAGTACTTTACTTCTGTCAGGCCATCTCTCAACCCTTCTCCATCCTGAATCCGATTGCCAGTGCACGTGGCCGCCTGCATAAACAATGTTCTAATACTGAATCAACACACTGTCTTGACTTCCATGTCCATCGAGACATGGTGGTGTCAGTCCTGATGAGGCCAACCCTCCGTGATATGGAAATGCAATTTGTTGAATTTTCAAGTTAAAAGGATGGGGAACAATAGCTCATAGTTCATTTTTTCATTTAAACATTTTTTGTAAGTTTTCAATTTTCAATGTTCAAAGTTAAATACTTCAAAACATCCATCATTTAATTTTGTCCATTTACACACATTTTTTTTTACTCATACCTTTGTTATACTGAATGACAAAGTTTGGTGGAGATAATTTTCATTTAAGAGAAAAAAGTCAAGTCAAAATTTTGATGCACTACCCATGCAAAGCATATCATGTGCTTGCCATCAGTTTACAGACCCAGGAGCAGGGCATTAGGTTGAAATCACATATGAATATGTAATGACAACATTCTCCACCTATTCAAATTTCTGGTCATAGTAACAAATTCAATGCATTTGGAAGAATTATAAATGCAAAATTCAAACATGATTTTTTCCATTTAGTTCAGTACAGGAACCAATTGATCTTTTTCAGCTTATCATCAATGATTTCATTTCCATGGTTTCTTACTTTGTCACAGTAGCCTGTCTTACAGCAGCTCTGGAAAGAAAAACTGGTAAAAATGTTAGAAATCGGTACTACACATTTTACTACATGTCTCAGTAACCAATTTACTGGTAGCTAGCTCTCTGTGTGATAATTCCAGATTTTCAATATCCTTTTTTATCATTCCTCAACAACAATGAGCTTAAAATCCTTCTCTTCTGAAGACTCTACAGATTCTGTCTTCATTCTGGTGATCACCAGGATGAAGACAGAATCTGTAGAGACAGAAATCACCAGGATGACAACTACATAGTTTACCCTAATTTCCTTAATGATAGATTCCTCCTTAGATCTATATGTAAGTGCCTCTTGTTCTCATTTCAATGAATCATCAGATACATAACAGGTCATTCTTTAATATTTTGAGCACTGACTTACAGAGATCTGGAGTTCTTATTTAAGTATCATAAGTAACTGAGCAGCAATTGCACAAGCAGCCAATCTCTTTAGTGTACTGTCCAGCCTGTTGCTTTGTAAAGTACTATATTATTTTCCCAACTTTTCCAACAATTATCGACACGACTGTGTGCTGGAAATATCCGTTCCCTAACGGGTACTTACGGGGATTCGCGTTAGTGTGCCAGGCCTGGACTTTTAGCGTGCACTGAAATTAAATAATGACAAAGTTTGTCAATAGCAAATCAAATATTTAATAAAAGTTCTAGTAATAAACTATATACAAAATTTAGTAAAATCAAATAACAATTTATTCAATGAAAGTCAATAAGAATCAACCCGACAAAACTCAAATCAATCTATTTTCTAACTTAATTCTATTCCCCTTTGGAATTCGACAAAATCAAAGACTTAATTTATGTACAATAATTCTTATGAATTAAAGATCCTAATCGTCACATCAATATACTAGGAACCTATTTCCTCAACTCTCAAGACTTTCTCTATTCGTCGATCCACAAATCGAATAAATTCGAAATCGCCTTGGAACTATTTTATCCTATCGGACACCTCTCTCTCATTTGCTGCTACGAAGCTCACCAAGCTCGTTGCTAACAGAAGCTCACCTCGTCCATCTTCACTTGAGATTTGGACTTTATACTGTGAGGTGACTTCACAACTCTGAATGTGATCACTCCCCTCATTTACATACTTATTTGCTAACAAACTTTTTCTATTTGTCTGGCAGCCTATTTTCCGACAATACTCGCTAACCTTTTACATTATTCTTTTTGACAATTTTCGGGATGTTTTTATTCTTTAAGGTTTAGCGAGTCCCTAAATTGTGCTGGTGGGGTCTCCCCCCCTTTTCTCGGTGCGGACTTACTTTTTTCCGCTCGGGAGCACAAGTGTGCGCGAGTTTTTTCTATGGCGCTTTTCTCTCGTTGGTGAGTTTGTTTCTCTTCTATTTTTAAGTTTCTAAGGTGAATGGTGAGGAAACCTTCGTCCTAACAAAACATAAGCCCCAAACAAAATATAATAAAACGCAAAAATAAAATTAAATAAAAATAATGCTTGAACTTGGTTCCTTACAGCTTAATCCCTTGCCATGTGATGTTGAAAAAATGTGCTGAATTACACTACCCCAGGTTATGTAACCTAGGATAACTATGGTGATCTAGCACAAATACAGAGTGTCAGGTCAGGGTTTCGAGACTGATTTGTGTAGATGTGTAATGGCAAAGTCATTACACAAGCAATACAGTATCAGACCCAGCACTTTGCTCCTGAACCTATAAACTGATGTCAAGCATGCCATATGCTTTGTACCAGGTAGTGCAATAAAACTTTGACTTGACTTTCTCCTTTAAATGAAAAATTGCCTCCACCAAACTGTCATTCAGTAGAACAAAGGGTATAAATAAAAAATATGTAAAAAGAGTGAAATCAAAAGAGAGTATTTTGAGATACAGAGAGGTATTTTGAACATTAAACATTTGAAAACAGAGAGGTAAAATATTTTTATTTACTATTATTTATATTTCAAATTATATCTTGGTTTCTTCTGAAATTTTGCATATCTACAATATATACAGTGTGATGGTTGATGCACCACTTACCTTGAGTGTTCGTTGATTTTATAAAATAACCGAAGTTTTATATCTCGTCATGAAAATTTACTTACAATCACGTACAAGATTTTGTTTTACATTTTTTGAGTAAAGTTCGATCGGTTACAAGCATGCATCGGTACAGAACATTCACTTGTCGTGAGTAGTGTAGCCAAGAGAGAAAAGA